AGGCCCGGACTACCCAGTCGGGGCGGAGGCGGCGGGAGGAGAGCGTTCGCAAGATTTGTAAGTGGTTCATAAACATGTTCACTTTGTGGAAAAAGAAAGTTTCGCAAATATAAGCTTATTTCTTAGTACGTGATGATGGGTAGAGCTTGTAATAGATTGGAGAGAAAGGTCGGCTTTCACAGCCCTTGTCAGGGTTCTGATGCCATTTCATGGAATGAAAATGTAGCTACTATACTCTTCAATGATTTGTTTTGCTGGTAGTGAACTAGGCATCAAACCTACATTTACCATTGTAAGAAATCCATGTCACCTTTTTTTTTTGCACTTTAATAAAAGGACTCAACTTTCAAAGAACACCATAAGCATTGTTTGCTATTTCTTTAATTGAAACAATTTAACTCAAAATATTTATGAAGTTGTGGTTTTGACTACAGTGACAATTTTTCTTTACTAGAAGATGATTTCTTTATGTAAACAGGAAACATTTGTTATTAAATGTGCCTTATGCAAACAGAAGAATTTATTTTAATAGTTGTTTTTTCTAATCAGATACTTTATGTAAAAGGGACGTTTATATTGCATTAGTTCAGAATTTACTCAATATGTTTTCTGTTATGCAGACTCACCGTAGGCGTTTTTGCCAATCCTACTTTCAATGATTGTTTAAAAATATATTTTATTTCAAGCACTGTTTATTTATCTGATTTAAAGATATGTAACTAGAGGGGGTGAGAATTAAATCCTACCATAGAAAACAGTTTTTGACATTATTCAGAGATGTGGGTACTTAAAAAGAAATTTCCTTTGCATAATATTTATCAAATTGTTCTGAAAATAATACAAGGCATAGAGATGCCATTTCAATTTTAAAATATTGCCTTAACATCAATGCATGGTGTGTTATCATGAGCTCTGTAAGTTCTTTACTTTTTAACCCATGAAAATGTATTATGACATTTACTTTATTACTGAGGCCACATGGCTTTATTGACTTTAGATCCCCCCCCC